TCCTCCTCCTGCAGCTGCCACGGTGTTGGCCTTTTCTCTAATGTTGCTTTTCTCCTCCTCATATTTTAATAGAATTAATCTCTGATCCTCACGAGAAACACTTTTTTCCCCTCACATACGGCGCTCTGTGAGGACGCTCAGTGACGCTGCGCTTCTCTCATGATTGTGATTGGTCCGCTGCGTGCGCGTTCATGGCTCTTGATAAAGCAACTCTGGGTTGAGTTACCGAGTTGATATCCAGCATCGTGATACTGATTATCCTGATTGCCATTGTTAGGGTTGGTCAACCCAGGATAGGTCTGGCTAACCCAGCTAACGTTAAGTTATTACCAATCATGCCCTCGTTTTTACACAACAGATGTAGCTAAACCCACCAGCCGGTGGTAGTAATTTGTGCATGCCGAGATTCCCCACATAGACGTCCCCCTAATGATTCGATACATTACGTAGAATTGCATCTTAGAGAACATAACACACGTGTTAAAAGATAATGAAGATGACGGCGCGTATAAACGCAGTGGCTTGGTACTCTATGCTAGTGCTAGCTACTAGCTACTACTGCTAGTGCTAAGTGCCGAACAGATAAAGTTGTCTAATTCTAATAATTAAAAGACTCGTTCCCTTACCGCTCTTTCTCTTCGTCATGCGTGTATTGTTTGCATTCTTCTTCTTCTTCTTCTTCTTCTTCTTCTTCTATGGAGTTTATTGGTGGTTGGCAACCAACTTGAAGGTGCATTACCGCCACCTACAGGACTGGAGTGTGGGAAAGTAGATTTGCAGACAAAACAAAACAAAACAAATTAAAAAAAAAAAAGGGAAATTAAATCCTCTCCATCAGCCGTGTATCTTTTAGATATATGATTAAATGTTTGGGTATATTATTTGACTATACTCTGAGCAGGTTCCCTACACTTAAACATATCTTTGCCTTCTCTGCTGCTGTTATTGCCCTCCTTTCCTCCTCATATGCTCTACACTCCAACAAAACATGCTGGACAGATTCAGACTGACCACAGTGATTACATTTGCCATGGGGGTGTTATACCTATTTAATGTAGTGTATTATTCAGTCCTGTGTGCCCTATCCTAAGTCGTGTGATGACTGCCTCTTCCCTCCGGCTCCTGCCCATCCTTCTTCCAAACCCAACCTGTTTCTGTATGTAATATAAGTGTCTTCCCGTGTCTTGGATGTCCCAGTGTTCTTGCCACACTTTTCTCACGTGTTTCTTAATTATTGATTTACCCTCTGCCCTGCTTAACGGAATTTCTGCATTTACAGTGTGTGATTTAAGTGATTGTTTGGCCAGAGTATCAACCCTTCATTTCCTTCTATTCCTACATGGGAAGGAACCCAAATAAAGCAGACCATCAGACCCTTCTTGAGGGTCAGACGACTTCATGGTTTTGATACTTGTAAGTGCTGCCCAGCTGTCTGATGCTATTAGTGTGTTGTTATGATTGTTTTCTTCTATCCACTCCAAACCTAATATAATAGCTGAAAGCTCCACTGCATATACTGATAAATGATCTGTGGTTCTTTTCTTGATATGTACTTTGTGGTGTGGAATGAAAACTGCAGCTCCTGTTAGTCCAGTATCAGGGTCTTTTAACCCATCAGTGAAAATCATTGTTTTGTCTGAGAAGTGTTGTTCCAGATAACTCTGAGCTACCCTCCCAGGAGAGACTTGCTTACTCCTTTTCTTGAGTTGTTTCTGTATTTCTAGGTTTACTGATGGTTCTACAAATAGCCAGGGACAAGTATGTCAATATATGGGATTGTCGGACTGAATTGTATATGACCTAAACCTGCTTGTTCTGCCTTTATGTTCCCTATCCATCCAAAAGCTCATAAAATTAGAGTCATTGTGCTCCCAACAGTCCTCCAGGATGGCTTTAGCAGGGTGTGAAATGCTATACCCTTGAAGATTGACCCAGTATGCTAACGTAAGTTTCATTCTTCTGATCTGCAAAGGCTGTTCCCCCATTTCCACTTGTATGGCTGCTACTGAAGAGGATTTAAATGTTCCACTACATATCCTCAGTCCCTGTGTCTCATCATCCAGTTTTTTAAGATGAGTTTCTGCTGCTGATAAATACCCTATACACCCGTAGTCTAGTGTTGCTCTCATAATAGTCTGATATTTAACAGTGATACTCTGGTTGCTCCCCAGTCTCTTCCTGACAGGCATCTTAAGAGACTGTTGACCCGTTTGCACTTGCCTTACTTTATCAATGTGACACTTCCAAGTCAACTTTTCATCTAACCACATACCCAGTAATCTAATAACCCTGACCTGCTCAATTGTTTGGCCATACAGTTTCAAGGAGATCTCTTTGTGATGTCTGGAAAAACATATTCCTTGTGTCTTTGCAACTGATAGTTTAAAGTCCCATACATCTGCCCACTGCTCCACCTTCTCAATTGCCACCTGCAGTTTCTTCTGTATAAATTTCAGATTCCGCCCCCTTATCCATAAGGCCCCGTCATCAGCGTACAGTGACTTCCCTATACCTTGCTCAGTTTGTTCAAAAATATAATTGATCATGATGTTAAACAGGATTGGACTGCAGACACTTCCCTGTGGTGTTCCATTCTCAACTTGATATATTTTTGAATATTCTGTACCCACTTTAACTTCAATTGTTCTCCCATGTGAAATCTGATACCCAGTTGTACAGTTTCCCATTCACACCTAATTTACTGAGTTTGATGAGTAGTCCCTCTTTCCATAACATATCGTACGCTTTCTCAATATCAAAAAATACAGCAATCACCATTTCTCTGTTGGTCTGAGCTTTCCTTATTTCTGATTCTAGACATAAGACAATATCCATCATCCCTCTTCCCCTACGAAATCCACTTTGATAATTTTGACAATAATTTTTTTTACTCTCTAAAAAGTGTGTTTCTCTGAGTCTCTCTGTCACCATCCGTTCCAAAGCTTTCCTTAACTGCAATGTTAGAGCGATGGGTCTGTAACTAGAGGGATTTGATGAGTCTTTACCTGGTTTTACTATAACCGGTTCCTTCCATATTGATGGGAGTTTGCCTGTGTCCCATATTTTATTAAACAGTCTTAACACTGCTTCAAGCGCACTGTCTGTCATATGAGCTAAAACACTATAGCATACACCATCTTTCCCTGGTGACGTTTGTCATGCATTTAATATTGCTCTCTTCATTTCAATAAATAAAGTAAATCTAGGTCTTCTCCTGATGATGCCCTTCTTTCTGTAATTCCTATATTTTGTGTACGGGTATTATCTCTACACTGCTTAGCTTTTATAGATAAATTATCTGAGCTGTGAACCTTCACAAACGTCTTCACTAGGAGCTCTGCCTTTTCTACAGTACTTATTGCTGTCATGTTATTGCTATGCATCACTGGTATTTCAAAGTTACTCTTTATGCCATTCATTTTCCTAATCATTCCCCATACATCTGCCAACTGTGTTTCTCTCCCACTTTTATTGCAGTATTGTCTCCAGTATGTCCGTTTTGCTGATCTTATTGTTTTTCGAACTAATGCTTGTGCTCTTTTGTATTGCATCAATGTGTCTTGTGTGTGGTGAGCTTTCAATTGTCTAAGTGTTCTATTTCTCATTTTTATTGCTTTTCTACACTTGTCATTCCACCAAGGCACACTCTTTCCTCGTTGACTACCTCTAATCTTCGGAATAGTTTCTTCTGCTGTCTGTATCAACGCTGTTATCAATTTCCTGTTCATTTCCTCTACATCTGTTACATTCTCTTCCAGCAGTTTAACACACCTGGCTTCACTTAATATCTGGAATGCATCCCAATCTGCTTTATCCAACTTCCATCTTGGTGTCCTTGCTCCCCCATCTTGGTGTATTTCTATTCCAATCTTGATCATTATTGGATAATGAGCACTGCCTACTGTTGACCGGTTTAACACTTCCCAAATACTGACACCTGCAATTATAGTGGATGTGAGTGTCAGATCAATTACACTCTCTGTGTTCTGTCAACTATTATACCTTGTGCCCTTTCCATCATTTATACACACCAAACCCATATTATCTATAAACTCCTCTATTAGTGACCCATTTGCATCCGTATTATTGCTCCCCCATAACGTGCTATGAGCATTAAAGTCCCCACACCATACTAGTTTCCCTTGTGTCAGCCCACTTGCATCATTCAATATATCAGTACTCAGTCTATTACATGGGTTATAGTAATTGACTATTGTTAAACTGCTCTTTTCTGTCCATACCTTAATTACAATGGATTCTTGTTCCTTTCCTATTTTAAGTAAGTTATAATTCAACCCATTCCTCACAAATGTTGCCACTCCTCCACCTTTCCCAGTTTCGCTATCATTTCTTATTGCAGTGTAACCATACATAACAAAATCCCATTGAGGTTTTAAGCATGTCTCTTGAATACATATTACATGAGGTTTGTCTGATAAGTTTGATAGAATTTTTTTTAAACTCTTGTCCATTAGAGATAAGACTCCTTGCATTCCACTGTAAAATAATTGAGATCATGATGATCCACCAGCCCATGTCTGAGAGTTAGATGTTTCCCCAGCTAATATTTCCTCCACTGCTTCCCAGCTTATCCCCTCAAGTCCAAGATATTTCTCAGCTGCTCTCACAATAATCTTAATCTTTTCCATTTTCCTGCTTGCTTGTGCCGAACAATTAATCACCTCAATCATAAACAACACAAATTCATTTTTGCCCACAATCAGCGTATCCTCCTTTATGTCTGGTTTAACACATCCTCCACAAGGTCTACTGTTACTCTCTGCTTCCACTGGTTTAGAGGCAACTGTCTGCACTGTCTTTACTTTTTTCGCTGCCTCTGCATATGTAATCCCCTTGGAGATTTTAACTTTCTGCACCTCAGCCACTGTCTTGCTTACGTCACATCCTCGATAAGCGGAAGTATGCTCCCCTCCACAGTTGCAACACTTTAGCTTAGCCCCCTTCTTCACATTTGCCATACTCGTGCTCACCTGCACATCTACCGCATCTTTGTTTGCCTTTGCAAATTGCCGCTACATGACCATACTTTTGGCACTTGAAGCATAGCAGTGGTGGAGGAATATATGGTCTCACCTCATAGCTCATATATCCTATATACACTTTGCTCGGCAACCTAGGTTCATCAAATTTAATCAGTACAGACAGGCTGTCGCATTTCTCTCCATTTCTGGCTGTTTTCAACCGTCTGGCTTCCAACACCTTTGCACCCACCACATTATCTTTAACCTGGTCTGTTGACACAACCGTAGGTATTCCTGAAATGACTCCCCTAGTCGGCTTCCTATCCTCAGGTATTGAACACTGCACTCTTTTACCGTCAATCTTGTTCAGTCTTATGGCCTTTCCTTGTTGTGCACTATCCCTACAGAAGATCAACAATGATCCATTTCGCAACACTTGGGCATGCTTAATCTCTCCTACCGACTTGTGAATTGCCTTTGTCAGCTGAAGTGGGTTCCACTCACCGAACGATGCACTGTCTTGAGAGAGTTCGATGTAGATTTTATATTCCTCACTCTGCTTTGTTGTTGATATTATACTTTACTCACTATCAGTTCCTTCTATGTTGCCTCTATCATTTTGCTGTCTCTGTTTTTTATGTTTTCTCTGTTTATTTTGACCTGCCAAACTCCAGCCATCTTCCTTCCC